GGCTGTACAGCACCAGCTGGGGTTGACGGGGGAGCTGGATCCATGGAACCACACTGATAATTAGCAATATTGATAATTATCAATACTGAGGCATTGGCAGCCACCCCAGCAGCCCTGTCCCAAACCCTGCTCTGCTCCACAGCACGGAGCCATCTGCACACCCAGAGAACCACACAGATCTCCTCTATCCCTGCATGCACTGTGCATCTTTGTGATGGATTTGTTTCTGTTTGCAAACAAATTAATTAGAGGAACGTTTTGGTTTTATCTGGAGCTCGCAGCCAGCCCTGCCCGATGCTGCGGAAGGGAGGCACGTCTCCAGCACGAGCTGCCTGAGCTCTGCACGGTGTAAGAAGGGACAGGACACGGTGTTTTCCATCCCCAGCCGAGGATTCACGTCCTGCAGCCGTGCTGAGCACGTGCTGCACGGCCCCAGAGCCCAGTGGCACCGCTGTGAGCCGGAGCTCGGGGCTGGAGCAGAGCCTCCGACACGGCACAGACACCGGTGCAATTCAAACACGACACCGTGCACCCCGTGCAGACACTAATGGCCTTATTACAGCATGAATTAGACAATCAGACTGAAAAACAACCCCACATCAGCTTGCTCCAGGAGGATCTCCCTCCCCAGTGGCAAATAACCAGGTCTGGCAGCACCCCAGAGCTCACTGCCAGCCAGCCCAGGGAGCAGCGCGTGTCCACGGGCAGGAGCCCGGGCTGCTCCCTCCAGCCTCAGCACAGGGCCAACACCTGGAAAAGGCAGGTTCAACCATTCCACAGGGATTGTTTCCTTTACTTGTTGATTTTGACAGTTCTGGGATACTTGCACAGGGAATGGGATGGAAAACACAATAAACCTGGGACCTGCTGAGTTAACTGTACCTGGAGAAAGAGAAGCAATATCACAAATTTCCCAGGAGAGCCTGTGCTTCCTCTAGGAGCGATCCATTTCCTCCTCCTTCAGGCACAGCAGCTCCTCCAGGAGAGATGTCTTTGTGTTTGTGTTTGTGTCAGGCACCTCCAAACAAGAGAAGCTGCATTTTTAGGAGGCAGCCGGGTATGGGAGCTGCTTGGGCAGTGTCACCAGCCTGCAGCAGGGACACCTCCAGGGGGTCAGTTCCTGCTCTGAGCCCCACCCAGGGGTCAGTTCCTGCCCTCAGACCCACCCAGGGGTCAGTTCCTGCCCTCAGACCCACACAGGGGTCAGTTCCTGCCCTCAGACCCACCCAGGGGTCAGTTCATGCCCTAAGACCCACCCCGGGGTCCGTTCGTGCCGT